AGGGGTCCCAGATTGGAGAGGGTGCAGGCCGGGCTGAGGGACGCCCCCTCCCATGCACAAATTTCATGCAAATATATATATTTGTTTAATATAAAAGAAATTTCCCCTCAAATTGTTGAGGGGGAATGTACCCTCCAAGAAGTTGTGTCCTTTTTACCCTAGAAAACCACCAAGAATTCCCCCAAGTACATGTGCTCCAAGCTGATAAACACCTAGAAACGATTCTGGAGGAACCTTGAAGAGAGCACAATCCCCACCCACCCCTTGCTGCCTCGTCCACGTGCCCTCATCTTCATCCCAAGGAGGAAGAGCTCTGGAACAAAGACACCTACGTGAACCAGGAGTCCCAAGGAATGCGGAGTTTTGAGACGGAAAACAAGGTTAAAAGTTCTATTGTTCTGTATCATTCTCTTTTCAGACATCTCTCTCTTCTAAATCATTTCATTGCTCTTTCTTTCCATGTGCTTGGTGAGGTAAGAGGTGCATTTGGAGTCCAAACCTTGGTTCATAGTAATGAAGTTTCCTTTGATATATTTCTTCAGTTAAAAATCTCTAATCACTATTGGTGGGCTCATTGAGGATTGGAGGTTCAAGATCGAGGCCATCATGCATAAATTATAATAATACTTATAGAGAGAAGACAGAAGAAGCAAACAAGCTGGTAATGGTGAATTGAGTTGATTAGTAAAAGTCTTTTAAAATAAAATGTGATGAATGGAAAATATTCAGTCAGAGATGCCACATGAATTTGAATAATCAGCCTTTTCGTGACCTAACATTTGAAGGCATGAAAGAGAAGGCCATTATCCCATGAATGTACCAAAAAAGCAGATTCCTGAGGGAGTAATTATGGTGGCTCCTGCGGGAAGCATCCTAGACTGATGGTCCCGGCTGCAGCCCTCTGAAATTCATCATCACATTTGTGCCCCAGCCAACTAAGCACAGCAGGGCTGCTAAGACAGGCCCACTCCCGGAAGATGCAGGATTACTCTGATGGACAACTTTAACTTAAGGACTTCCAATTAACCTTGCTAAAACTTTCTTCCTTGCTTTCCTTCTTTCCCTCCTTCACAGGGAACAGTTTTGCAGAGTGATCTGATGGCCCTCCCAGCCTCCTCCAGCTTTATCTGCATTTTCTCCCACAAAGTTTTTCTCAACAAATCTCATGCACATCTAACTTCATCTGCTTCTCAGAGGGCCTGAACTAACACAAGTAAGGAGCTATTTGCGGAATGGACAGGAGGAATTAGGCCATTTACTGCAGTTAGGATTGGGAAATCTAATGTAAATAATCAATTACAGCCCAGCTTGTATGGCTCAGAAGTTGAGCATCGGACCATGAACCAGGAGGTCATGGTTCGATTCCCAATCAGGGCACATGTCCCGGTTGTGAACTTGATCCCCAGTGGTGGGCATTCAGGAGACAGCGCATTGATGTGATTGATGTTTCTCTGGCCCAGAAATCAGGATTTTAAAAAGATTCCCAGGTGATTCTAATGTGCAGCCAAGGTTGAGAACCACTGGTTTAGAGTAAGACTAAGAAGATTAATGGGTGATCATAAAAAGACCAGATTTAAGAGGGAGCTTTCTGAGAATAAGTAGCAGGTAACACAAGAGGTTGTGATGGTGGGGATGGAGGTAACATTATCAGAGTCTGAAGTTAATTATTTGCATACTTGATGCTAATTAAGCCTAAAGCTCAATTGCTTTAATTTGTATTCTTATTTATTCATTTGTATTGATATTCTGTCTTGCTCACAGCAATATAACATTTTGAGGAATAGCTCCCAGCACATAGAAGGCACTCAATAAATACTCTTGAAGAAATAAATCCTGGCTGGCTCATCTCCACACCTCCTGAAAGCTAATCTCTGTCTATAACGGAGAGTTCTGCTTTCAGTCTTACTACACATTGGGAAATCTAATGTAAATAATCAATTACAGCCCAGCTTGTATGGCTCAGAAGTTGAGCATCGGACCATGAACCAGGAGGTCATGGTTCGATTCCCAATCAGGGCACATGTCCCGGTTGTGAACTTGATCCCCAGTGGTGGGCATTCAGGAGACAGCGCATTGATGTGATTGATGTTTCTCTCTCATCAGTGTTTCCATCTCTCTATCCCTCTTCCTTCCTCTCTCTAAAATCAGTAAAATATATTTTAAAATAATAATAATCAATTACATAATATCCTAAGATCACTGTCAAAACATTAAGAAGCTGGCAATGTCCAATGTCATTCGATCCAACTTTGGAAAGAGACAAAAGAGCTAAGAGAATGTTTGGACACACTCTAATTTCTTGGATAGTTCAACAAGATATAACAAACAGCTTAAAATAGTGAATAATAATACAAGGAGATCTAAACATAAGTATAAAGTGGCACCAAAAAACAATATATGTTTGAAGTCTCATAATTTATTTTTAAAATCCAGATGAATTTTATATTCTAACTCTCTCTAGAGTAAGACTAAGAAGATTAATGGGTGATCATAAAAAGACCAGATTTAAGAGGGAGCTTTCTGAGAATAAGTAGCAGGTAACACAAGAGGTTGTGATGATGGGGATGGAGGTAACAGTAGAGTCTGAAGTTAATTATTTGCATACTTGATGCTAATTAAGCCTAAAGCTCAATTAGAGAATCTGAAAAGATTTCGTTGTTTTTGGCAACATGCATAGTTTAGTTGATATATGTGGGTGGAGCCCTGTTAAGAGGACTATATATTTTTACTTGGACTCTATACAGTCTTTTTAAGAGAACTCTATAAAATGTTTTATTGGCTTTGAGGTGTTTTGCTTGCAGTTTTTAGGTTTGTGATTTTAAGGTTTTGCATAATTAGAAGTAAATAATGAAGTTAATTATTTGTATCAGATATCAGCATTTTCAGCCTATAGTAATATATGAAAAAACTTACATTTTTATATTCTTTCAAAGTCTCCATGTGTGAAGCTCTGTATACCCAAAGAAATGCAGTAATGTCTGTAAAACTGAATTGGAAACTGTTTGGCATGTGCTATTTCACTGAAACCTAACATGGATCCTGTGAGGTAAGGAGGGCAGGTAGCCTTAAAGCTCACTTTTACCAAAGATCAAACTGAGGCTCAGGGGAGCTAAATAGCTAACACATAGTCAAATCCAACCCAGGTGCAAGGTTGCAGTAGGCAGAATTTCTAGGAATGACTCCTAAGAATTCATAACCTAATCCCAGTGATGTGTGAACGTGATGAAATGTCATTTATTCCCATGATTCTGCTATGTTATATGGGGTAGTTGACCTTATTGAAAGATTATTCAGGTGAATCTAATCCAATTACATGGAGCCCTTAAAAGCCCCTTCTGCCAGTGATCAAAGAGAAAAAGAGAAGTCAAAGAGAGAGATGGCAGAAGGGGAAGGCAGAGAGTCGAAGCATGAGAAGGATTGGAGGTACTAACGCTGGCTTGAAGATGGAAGGGGCCATGTGGAAGGCATGAGAAGGAAATGAATTCTTCTAACAACCTGTGAGCTTAGAAAGAGACCTAAGCTCTGGGTGAGAACTGCAGCCCCAGCTCTTACCTAGATTTTGACCTTATGAGATTCTAAGCAGAGAACCGAGCTGACCTACACTTTGCCCAGGAACTGTGGGATAATAAATGGGCATTATTTTAAGCCACTATGTTCATATTGATTTTAAACAGTGACAAAACAAAAACAAAACAGGGATAATAAATGGGCATTATTTTAAGCCACTATGTTCGTATTGATTTTAAACAGTGACAAAAAAAACAAAAAACAAACTAATACATGGGTTTTCTAGTTCCATCACTATTTTCACCATACCACCCTACTCTTAACTAATGCCAATAAAAATAATCAACAGTGAACTGAAAAGGCACAGTACTAACCTTATAATTTTGCTCGTTTAATTTTGATTAGAAGTCTAGCTTTCTAAGATTTATTTTAGGCCTGACCTCATTTCCTTTAGTTCTGAGCCTGTGGACTTGAACTCATTTTCAAGACAGACTCTCATTTCCTCGTCCTAATTGGAAAATAATTCAGGTAACATATAAATAAGAAGAAAATATTATAAGATTAAAACTTTTGTCATAGTTTGGCAAAGTTTTAAAACTCTTACAAAATACTGAAAATATCATGGGGATTGTTTGAACACATATAGTGAAACACTGTTGTTTTATCTATCCATTGTAACTCCTTTAGTAAACTTTACTCACAATCTTTTGGGAATGCTCTTCTCCCAGTCAAACCAAGTGGGTCTGAGGAAATGTCCACACTGTGAGAGAATTAAATAAGATTGTAGATGTTTAGCAACAGTATCTAGCATATAGTAAGCTATCAGTAAAAAGTATATCTTCATCTCTTGTATTCCAAGATGTCTGAAAATCTATGTTAGAATCACAGTCCTATTAGAGAACGAAACTTTATGGTTTTCAACCTTCATGCATCCAAGGGTTAGTACCAGAAGAGATTCTTAGATCCTCAGTCACAGACATGAATTTTACTTAGTTACCTATCAGGTACCCAGTGGCTATTCATACAGATGAATAAGAGGTATTTAGTTACCTGTTATCAGAGAATTAAGCCCAACCTTTAAAGAAAAAAATGATTCATATCTGCATCTTTGTTATCAGAGAATTAAGCCCAACCTTTAAAGAAAAAATGATTCATATCTGCATCTTAGTAGAGAAAATAACAAACAGTAGGTCATGTGTTGGCTTCAAACTATTCTAGCGTCTATTCTGGAGAATAATAGAATCATAGGATTAGTAAAGTAAGTAATTATTTGTTTATGTATTTATTAATAAATAAAGCTCAGGAAAGAAGGTATAGCTCAGGGAAGTTAGTTGACTTCTACAAGATCAACAGTAAGTCTGTGACAGAGTCAGGCCTGGAACACAAGCTAGGATGGAAGCTACAGGAAATGTCCTACTATTGGTGGTCACCAGACCAAGTAAAAGGGAAGATGGGAAGTGGCTCAAAGTAGCAGGGAAAGTGAGTGAGATCGAGTATGGGAGATCTAGCACTTAGTTCTTTTCAGAGGAGCTTAGGAGCTGGAACCCACTGAAGTCTAATACCACTATTGGGGTAACACCTCTGAATGAACTCTTTTGTGGCCAAATTTCTGGAAAGAAGACAGACTAGGCTGATTCTAATAAGATAATATCTCATATGCCATTTCAGAGAATTCAGACACCCTCAATTTCACCCTCATATCCATCACCTGTGTCTAATCCATTTGATGGGCACACAATACTCTTACTTAATTACTCTGCTCTTGAATCATGTTTACCATTGGCCAATCACTAATCTAAGGCTAAGTTTATAAGTATATTATTCTTTAAAAAGCACTCACAGGAAACCTGTCAGGGATAAAGGTTCTATACTAGGCATTAGGAACTTACTGAAAAGTGTTTAATCAAACTCCACTTTCCTTGTCCAATCAGAGAAGAGAGTGAGTTATTCAAAAGAAAACTAAACCAACCAGAAGTAACTCTGTATAACCTAATCCCTCCAACCCTTATGTCATAAAGACAAATAAAAGCTCATAAAGAACCTTTGCTTGTTTCAGAACCTTATCAACTTGAGCCAGCTGATAGGGAAAGTAAGTCTTATGGCTGAACTCTTGAACCAGGAAAGGATCAGTCCAAAGTTTCTGTCAGGTGACATGACCTACAAAAGTACTCCCAATCCTTGGCTTGTCTTTATGACTGATAAATGATTGCCAGTTATTTGCTCTATAATATATGCTTGGAAACTGCGGTTAAATGGCTGAAACTGTCCCAAGAAAGAGGTTTCCTTCTGGAAAAAAAGAAAAAAATCATCCCCTACATGCAAGGTTTAATTAATGAAAAAGTTGCTTAGATGATCAAACTATGCCTTTTTTTCTGATCCAATGTTTTGTGGTTTGGGAGTTTTTTTAACAAGCAAAAAAACCTTTAAACAGAAACCAGACTCTTTTATATTCTAATTTTTTCCACTCCATTATGTTGTAGTAGTCCATAACAAGAATATGACCTCATCAGTTATTTACTCCCATTTTGGGTTTCATATGATGGGTTTCATTGGAAATCCCCATTATGGGGGAAATTTCTAAACCATAGAGCAGCTCATTTGTTGGGGGAGAGGGGGGTTCTTTATAAATAAAAAAAAAGTTGAATTGTAATGGAGGAACAGTGAATGATTTCTCTAAAGGAGAAAGTTTCAGCCTCCCCCTGCTTATTAAGGAAAGCTAGGTTTGAGATCCTAAAACAGGACTATGACCAAACTATGTGAGTATCTCGGGACCTTATAGACTAGTAGAGCTTAACTAGTTCATAAGTTTATTTTTTTAATATATTTTATTGATTTTTTACAGAGAGGAAGGGAGAGGGACAGAGAGTCAGAAACATCGATGAGAGAGAAACATCGATCAGCTGCCTCCTGCACCTCCTACTGGGGATGTGCCCGCAACCACTGTACATGCCTTTGACCAGAATCGAACCTGGGACCTTTCAGTTCGCAGGCTGACTCTCTATCCACTGAGCCAAACCAGTTAGGGCACTAGTTTATAACTTTAGACACTGACAGCCAACGGTAGAGTTAATAACGATACTGAATGACCAAGCAATGTGCATAGACAAGTGTTCAAACAATTAGGGTAATACTCTCTTCTCAAGTGATTTATTGTCTGAAATACTGAGTTAAATGGAGTACCTACTATATCTAACAAAAACTGTTCAGTTAAATGCCAACCTCCCTGGCCCATTAGGAGAGGCAATAATTTATTCAAAATGTAGTTTAAGAATAAAGTTACTTTTTAGAAAGTAATCCTATTAAAAGAAAAAAAAAGAGATAGAAGGCACAAGCAAGTAAATACTCTATCAGACAAAGTCACAGTAACTTTTTTTAATTGCAGAAATTATTCTAGTTTAAAAAAATTTGAAAAAGCAATTATTTTCATAATCAAGAAACCAACAACAACAACAGCAACAAAAGGTTGGGGGTTGTCTGTTGGTTTCTTTGCTTGTTCTAGTTCACTTTCCTAAGAGCCAGCTTAGCTTCTCAGACCTTGACCCAGTGATAGATTAAAGTCCTTAATCAGAGATATGGAATGCCTTATCTAGTGACACATGTTCTTTCTCTGTCCTTTGAAGCACATATTGTCCCTCCAAAGGAAGTTCACCATGAAACTAAATGACACAGTCAATAAATACCTCATAGGAAGAGCCCCCTGGCCGCCTGAAGACCACACCACAGCACCAGTAAGTCCTCCTTTTTAAGAACACGCAAATTGTATGCGTAGTTACAGGAGAAAGCAGCCTTAGGTCATTCTCCCAAGGCCCTGATGTGGAAGGAACCACCTAGAACAGACAAACAACCATTGTAATCCCTGGGACAGGGGTGTGGGCTGTGGGAAAGGAAGCTCAGCATGGAATTTGAAAGCTAGGATTGCAAGGTAAGAGATCTGAGAGCTTCCAGAGGAGTCTGGTTTGTTTGTTTTCCGTCTAGACTGAGTGTGCAAGGACTTAGGAAATATGCTTTAGGTTAGAAGACACCCTGGAGTTGTTTTCTTTCTCCACTTAGAGCCCCATGTAATAATGCACATGCCAGTGTCTGCACTCAAAGCTGACTTAACGTCTACAGACATTCCCTCTCTTTCTCTGCACATCCAATCAGTAATCAAGGATGACTGCCACTACTTTCACTGGGCCTCCTCCACATCTCCCACACTACTCATGTCTTCAGTATTTCAGATTATCTCAATATTTCTCACCTGGATCAGAGCAACTATATTCTAACTGCTCTCCCTGCTGCCAGCTCCTGGTTCAGATTCTATATTGCTTTCTACAGAGCAAGACTGGCCATAGGACTAGCCAGTTTAAAGTTCTTTAGTGGCTTCCAACAGTCTCCTGGTTAAAATTCAAACTATTCTGGTACAGGCTCTGATAGAACAGTTACCTTGGTTCATATCCTATCTTTGACATTTACCAATTTGATCTTCAATTCCCCGTCTATATAAAATGGAATAAGAATAGTTCTTCTTCATAGGTGTGTTGTTAAACTTCAATGAGATACTTCTTTTAAAGAGCTTAGTACTATGCCTAGTAAGCAGTCAAGCCCATAGTTGAAATCAAAGCCCATCATACCCTAGGTCTGTTTTTAATGACTACATTGCACTACTGTTATTCCACTTTATTTCCCAAAACACATGTCATAACAGGATTTCTGGTTCCACATACAGAGCCACTACTCAGAGAAAGAATCTACGTCCCATCCCCTTGAACTTGGACATGACCTGTTGACCACCTCAATTAATTAGGTCTGGCACAAGTTAGGCAATGTCATTTCCTAGGCTGGGTCAGAAGAGGCAATATACCTTCTGTCTGGCAATCTCGTTTGCAGCATGCACCTTAGGAGACCTAAGCTTCCGTATGAGAAGTTCAGCTACATGAAGCTACCACACTTGAGAGGCCATGAGGACAGATCACTGAAAGCTAGAAATGTATGAGGAGCCCCAGGTGCCCAGCCATCCTTCACACAGGCCCCCAGTCACTGTGTGGAGTGGAAAGGAGTTGACCCACCCAACCCTGCCCACATTGCAGATGTGTGAGCTAAATAAGTGATCGTGGTTATTGCAGCCACTAAGTTTTGGAGTGTTTTGTTATTGCCTAAGGAGAACCCAGAACACCCACATAAACCTCCAAATCTATTTACTCACTTTCATTTCCCCTTGACAACACACCTTCCATGGCCTTCACGTATGTTTTTATGCTTAAAAATCGCCACCAGCACAAACATGCCCTCATGTAAAGCATTACTTTGCTTTCAAGAGTCATTGCAGGTAGTTCTTGTTGTGGCTTTTAGTCATTGTTACTCATTGTTGTAGTTTTAGTCATCTTTCCTCAAATCTGGAAACGGGTGGCTAAGGACACAAACTTCAAGTCAAAATGTTTGGGCTTAAGGTTCTTGTTGTTGTTGTTCACTACTTCCAAGCTGTTTAGGACTTTATCTCCCTAGACTTCTGTTCCTCCAAAGACAGAGTAATAGCCAAACCCTTATCTGAGTATTGTAGATATTCATTTATAACTCCTAGCAAAGTTCCTGGTATCTAATGAGTTCAATGCATGTTGCTGTTATTAGAGTGCTAATTTTATTGCATCACAATTATCAGTTTCCTTTTCTGAACAAGAACTGTGTATCCTCAATGCCTGGGACCTAGGATATGCAAAAACATTTTTGTTAAATGAATAAATAAAGAGCAAACAAACAAATGGATGGGTGAATGGGTGGGTG